TCCCCTTGACCCCGGCAGCCGCAGGGCCTGTGGCCTACAGCGGGCAGGAGACTGTGTCCCCTGTTTATACCCGAAGATAAGGAAACTAGTAACAGCTGCAAGTCTCGAGCGCCCAGCTGTGTACGTGCACAGTGTGGTCCGGGCACTGAACGCTCGTCCTCAAGACAATCCTATCAGCTGGATCCTGTCATCATGTCATTTTACAGAGGAAGGAAAGGAGGTGTAGAGAAGTGGGACAGCATGGCACCCGGCATGCAGTGCCTGAATGGCAGAGGGGGGATTCAAACTTGGAACCTTTGCCCCCATAGTCCAGATAGACACAGTCATCGCTGGGCATGCCAGTGGGTGGCAGCATGGCGGAGCCTACATGGCTGGGTGTGAGGTTCAAGTCCCAGCGCCTGAAAGACACTCCAAGAGCATGCGTGTGGTGCCCCAAATCCGGACAGGAGAAGGCACTGGAGTGTGACCCACCCCCATGGGGAGTGCCGTCTCGCTCTCTCTCTCCCCTGCCTTCCCTCTCCAACCAGCACATGTGCCCTGTAGCAAATTAAACAAACAAAAACAAGGACAAAAAATAGAGTGATGTTCCTATATGGGGGAAGGCGGTGTCTCAGATAAGCACTAAGTTTTAGGGGACACTTTCCCTGGCCAGCACTCCACCAGGGGAGGGAGCTAGTGTGCTGGGGTTAGTTGGTTCTCTAGGTACTCATGTGAGGCAGAAAAAGACCCTTGTCTGAAACTTCTATGTTTACGGGCCAGCAGGTAGCATGGTGATTAAGGTGCTGGACTCCCACATGGCCGACTGTGGTTTGAGTCCCAGACCCGATGGCTTGAGAGTCATGCCAGGCACATGTGCACGTATGCCCCAAATCCCAGGAGAATGGAGGAGAAGGGACTGTGGCATGGCCATCCTCCCTGGAGGAAGGTGATTCTCACTTTCCGTCTCTCTGTCTCTAGTGAGCACACACGTCTTATGGCAAAACCTTAAAACCTCCATGTTTAATGTCCAGCTTGGCAAACGTACAAGCAGGAAGCAGGAATACGAAGACTGGAAAACAAGCCTCCACTAATTCTAAATGTAAGACGCAACCCAGTCTAGACCAGGTCCTTCTCCACCCCCTCTTTAAAATGCCTACATCCCCCTTGTCTGCCTCTCCTTCTTTCCACCTTATCTCTCCAGATTCTGAGTGCATACAACGGACGTTTCCTGTGCATGCAGGTAGTAGCCCTGGAGGAGTGGAGGGCTGGTGTCCTTGGCAGGTGCATGAGCGTGTGCATGTGGGAGGGCGTTGGAGCTGGGGGGTGCAGACAGGCAAGGGAGAGGATGATTAACTAACGCTCCTGGCACCCAATCTTCTGAGCACAGAGCACTACCATTCTCTTCCGGTCACTTCCCAAGCCCCTTCCCAAAGGCTCTTAAAGCCAAGGTGTTTCTTCAATAAAACAAAGGGGTTGCTGGTGCATGAACACTGCAGAGCTGACCCGCCCGGGAAGGTTCCGGACTCGAGTCCAGAGACTCCCCTGAGCACGCTGGGCATATGCGTGCCCATGATCCAGAGCTGGCTGGGGCTAGGGGTGGATTGGGACAGCAAGGTCCCGTCTGGGGTGCTGGCTCTCTGTCTCTGTCTCTCTTGCTCATAGAAGAAATAAAACTGAAGGAGAAGAAGAAAAAGAAGAAGAAGAGAAAAGAAAAAAGAAAAGAAAAGAAAAGAAAAGAAAAGAAAGGAAAGGAAAGGAAAGGAAAGGAAAAGAAAAAAAGAAAAGAAAAGGGTCTGTGTGCCCAGACAGGGCTCTACAGAACTCACAGAAGCACCAACACTCTCTTGCCATCTGGAGGAGCAGTCCCCACACCCCCCAGATGCCCTGCAAGGAGTGACAGAGTGGCCTCCACCAGGAGCTCTCCTCCAAGACCTGCTCACTTGGTCCCTGCATCCTTATTAGCCCCAGTTTTAGGCTGGGGTTTTGGCTAGGAGGTGACAAGAGCCTCATTTGTTAAAGTGTTATTTGCAGTTAAGTAGGGTCGTTCCTGAAACAACCGTAAAAGACATGTCTGGGAACTTAAGACATCCTTGAGACACATTCTGTTTCATCTTTAACTCCCTGATGTCATTTTTTTTTCTACAAGAAGAGATGGAGAGTTCTGCGAAGAATACAGAACTAGTGTAACTCCGTGAGAGAATAGTTCAAAAAGAGCTCATGGTAGAGTCTCAGGCCGAGGCTGACCCAGCTGTCTGAAGGGAGGCCTGGGTGTCCCCTTGTCATAGAAGCACCTGGGCGGGCCACCATGCTAGTCAGGTGTGTCTGGGCTGGGGGCCAGGGCTGCCCGCTCAGCCAGGCTGCTTGGTCTGCCGGTGCAAATCGCACCCACCAGCATCCGAGCCTTCGCTGGGACAGGCACGGCCAAAGACTCACATATGATTTGGTCAAGTGCCACACGCCCCACAGGTTGTCGTCCTTCGAGGCCGTGAACACACACCGCACAGTGATTCCACACAGGAAATAAGCTATGGGGAGCGAGCTTTTCTGTTTGATTCGTGTGTTTTTGTTTTGCCTTTTTTTTTTTTAAGGTATTGCTTACACAGCAGACTCTTCATCCCACCCCACGCTTAAACGTGAGACTCTGGTCTGGGAAAAACCCGAGAAGCCACCTCGTGCCCAGGCTGGGGAGGGTCACACACCCCGGGCATCTCTGGCTGGACTGCATAGCGGCCTCCTGCAGGGGATGACTTGCTTCCACTTACCCCTTTCTCTGACCACTGCAAAGGCCTCTCTGGGACCGTGTTTCCTGCTGGCGCAGGACTGTTCAGGGCCCCAACACACCTCCTAGAGCTGAAGGGCAGCATTCATGCCCTGGGCCAGAACGACAGTGATCTGGCAGGGAAAGGAAGGGACCTGGGGGCTGGCCTTCCCAGAGGCTGGGCCCAGGGCTCCCCCAGGGCTCACAGACCTCAGTCCTTTCCCTGTCTCTCTGTCAGGGGCAAAGAACTGAACACAGCGGGATAACAGCCAGGCCAGTCTGCCACTGTCGCCACTGTCTCTGCAGCAACCTTAGCACTCAAGCTGGCAGAGCCCGAGCGGGGCAGCAACGCGAATGGACCCAGTCAGGATTCCAGCCGCAGGACTGGAGGGGATTCCAACCAATGTCCTGTGCTGTCGCAGAATCTTTAGATCCTCATGCCCTTGGACCCTAATGACCCCGTGGGCCCGCTGCCCAGAATAAAGCTCTTAGCCAGCCTGGGAACTGACACAGCACTGTGGGCGCCTGGAGGACCCTGGAGTCACCAAGGCATCTCTGTCATTCATGCAGACCTAGGGTAAGGGCCCCAGTCTCGAGTAACCTTTCCATCTCCCAGCTGGAAAAACCGAGGATCCCGGAGAGGAAGCCACAGGTTCCCTGAATGGAGCATTGGGTCTGGGGCCCTGTGTCTCCAACGCCCTTTCGTCCATCCTCACACACCCACAGGTGGACTTACTCCAACCCCACAGGAGCCCAGCTCCTCCCCAAACTAAAGCCCAGATACCCTGAGCAAGTTGCCCCTCCATGCTCCTTGGCTTCCCTGCCTGTAAAGTGGGTGTGATAGTAACAGGACGGTGTCACCAGAGGAGAAAGGAGAATTCACCTCGCCCCAGCCCCTGCCCCGAGTTCTGTCCTGCTGTTAAGGTCCCTGCAATTTAGTTCACTTCGAAACAGTGATTACGTTTTGCAAATATTGGAGGAACTTCACTTACAGGATTTTGGGTTGCAGGGTTGCGGTGAGATTTCAGAGATTCCCAGCGCTGGCAGAGGGTCCGCCACAACCATTAAGAGTACAAAAGGCCTGTTGTTTGTCTCTCACCGTCAGCCGGCTCCGCGCTTCCGTCGCACCCCAGCCTCCTAGCCCGCCCGCGACACCCGCCGGAGCTTACAGCCCTTAGCTCACCTTGTCGGCGCCCGGGAGCCGCTGCGGGACCACCTGGAAGAAGACGCAGAGGGGCAGCGCGGCGCAGGCCGCGGGTGCCC